AGAAGAAGAAGAAGAAGAAGAAGAAGAAGAAGAAGAAGAAGAAGAAGGAGGAGGAGGAGAACATTAATACTAAGGCTTTTCCTTTAAGATAGAATGCAAAAGTAAAAATTAGGCTCCAAAAGCAAAAAGAAAGACAAAGGCAGGTTCCATGAGTCCAGAGATCCAAATAACTATTACAAATAATAAGCTGATAAGGAGGGGGGGTGAGGAATAGCCCAACTTAAAAAAGAGAAAAAGAACACACTGCACCTATTTAGTTATCCAAGGCTTTCGTTAGTTTTTATAGCTCTCTTCTCTAGAATCTTTTCATTTTTTTTCTGTATACTTCAACACCAGACTCCAGATACTGATAGAAACCCAGAAGAGCACCTGCAATAACACTCTCCCATGCTGTTCCCTCTATCTTATCAGACAGGCTCAGAGTCCTTGAAAAGAAGTCTGAATTCTTTCTTTTTGTCTGGTCAAGAGGAAAAAAAAGTGAAACAATATTTCTAAGCCTCTAGTTGGCAGTGTTACAAAGTTTCCTCTGTTTTCACTTTCCCCCTCCTTTTCCAAACAACTTATTATAAAAAAATTAATTAAAAAGGAAAAAGGGTTTAGGAAGAAAAAAGGCTAAAAGGGGATCTCTGGCCTAAAATATTGTAAAGACAAAAAGGAGAAGAGACAAAAAAGAAAAATAAGATAGAAAAAAAGACCAGTCCAGTTCAAAGTAAAAAATCATATACAAAGAGTCCAACAAAAGAAAGAAAAAATTAATTGGACTTCCCGTTTAAAGTCGCCACTTAATTACTTCTGTCTGAGATTTTACAGATTCTTTCTTTTCCTTAGGGTGTCCTTTTAAATCTTAAAGTAAAGAAAAACTTCTCACCAAACTGGCACACTTTCTCTTTCTATTCTCTTCCGTTTCAGAGCTGTCCCAACTTCTGGTGGCAAGCTGTTCCACTGGTTAATTGTCCTCACTGTTAGGAAGTTTCTCCTTAATTCCACATTGCTTCTCTCCTTGAATAGTTTCTGTTCTGTATTAACATACTCCAAACCTTCAAATCTGATTGGCCCTCACAGGCCGCAACCGGATTGGTCGAATAAACGGCCATGATTGGCGCGCTTAAAATCTACCGCGATTGGCCTAGCCGATCGCAGGAGATTCAAAGCACTGTCATTGGCCGCCGCGCCACGGACAGCTCCTATATGAAGGGCAGCCGCGAGCGCAGGTCCTGCACCGAACGGTATACTCAATAAAGAGCTGAATGTCACTTTTGAGTCTCGCGTCTCTGTCCGAACTGATCTACCCGGGACCAATCTACTCGGGACCGATCTCCCAGACCTAACACTGGCGATGAGGGTGGGATCGTGAGATGGGAGACCACCCGAGCACGTGGCAGAGCAGAACCAGGCGACCGACAAGATGGCCAGCAACACCGTGCCACCCGCACCCTTCAACCTGGCTGCTGAGGATTGGGAATCCTACATAGATCGATTCCTCATGTATCTAGAAAGCAGCAATCTGAAAGATGCCAACAGGCAGAAAAAAAGGGCCATATTCCTGACGCACTGCGGGCCCGCAGTGTTCAAGATGGCGAAGGCCCTTGCCAAGCCTGACAACGTCAAGGAAATGGACTGGGCCGATCTCGAACCATTGCTGCGAAACCACTATGCCCCCACCGTGCCCACCCTCATCCGAAGACATGACTTCTATCAGCGAGACCAACGAGAGGGTGAGTGCATCAGTGACTTTGTGGCAGAACTAAGGGACCTCGGGGGCATGTGTGGGTTCACCGACCTAGACGAGGCGCTGTGGGACCGCGTCGTCCTCGGACTCAAGGACCCCGTCCTACAGAGTCGACTAATGGTGAGGGGCGACATCTCCCTCACCGAGGCCCTCGCCGAAGCATCCGCAGCCGAGGCGACCAAAAAAGGCGGGCGCAACAGACCGGCTGGCACCCATCGCGATGACCCCGGCCCTGGAAAAGTACCCAGAAGCAAGCCACCAACAGACCACCACCACCCACCACGGTGACGGCGACTCCCTGCCCGACACCGAGGACGAGGAAGAAGAGGTCCACCAACTCCAGGCAGAGCGGGACCGGCAGGAGCGACGAGGACGTAAGTCGGGGTTCCAATGCGCCAGCTGCGGTGGCGACCACCCCCGCTCAGAATGCCGGTTCCTCGAGGCCATCTGCCGGCATTGCGACAAGCGAGGCCACATCGCAAGGGTATGCCGGAACAAGCGGAACTACAGCCCCCGCCAACGAGACGACAGCCCCCGGCGACGTGACAGCACACCCCAAAGAACCTGAGATCGCCCCACCGAAAGCCGATGGAGCAAAGAAGGCCAGAGCAAGCGGCTCGGCGAGGCGCGACGCAGGGAGGAAACACATCAAATGGTCGTCATTGGCCATTCCTCCTCCCTAGACGCCTGGAAGGTGCATGTGGAGGTAGGCATCGAGGATCAACCATGTGAGATGGAGGTGGACTCCGGGTCCTACCTCTCCATGGTTTCCTGGCACACAATCAAACACCTGGTGCCTACCATCCGCCGCTGCGAGCTACAAAGACAAAAACTGACCCTCAAAGACTACCAGGGAAACCGGATCCCTGTAGCCGGAACGGGACACTTCAAGGTAACCTTTAAGGGGCATACCGAGGTGCTGCCGATTGTAGATCGAGATCACCCAAGCCTGTTGGGGCTGCAATGGTTTACACCTCTAGGCATCGGAGTGACGGGCATCCACCACGTCGACGAGGTGGACTGGGAAATGGCGCTCGTGAGGGACTTCCAGGAGGTCTTCGACGACACTCTAGGCAAGTACCGGGGGACCCCTATTTCCTTCAACCTAGACCCCACCATCGCGCCAATCTGCCATTCGCACTCAAGCCGAAGATCGATGAGCAGCTAGATAAGCTCATCGCACAAAGGGTTCTAGAGCCCATCGACCACGCCAAGTGGGAGACACCCATAGTCACCCCCATCAAGCCAGATGGGTCCATAAGAATTTGCGGTGACTATAAGGCCACCCTCAACCACGTGCTACAACCTAGTGCCTACCCCGTCCCAGTAGTGCAACACCTCCTACACTCACTGGGGGGAGGCCGGGTCTTCGCAAAGCTCGACCTGGCACAAGCCTATCAACAACTGCCGGTCGATGCCGCCACTGCAGAGGCACAAATGATCGTTAGGCACCGAGGGGCATTCAGATGCAACTGGCTCCAATTCGGAGTCAGCGTGGCCCCGGGAGTCTTCCAAAGCCTAATGGAAAGACTGCTCCAACGGATAGAAGGGGTGGTGCCCTACTTTGATGACATCTTGGTGGCGGCTACAAATAAAAGAGAATTGGAAGCCCGCCTAAGGGAGGTGCTACAGAAATTCAAAGACTCGGGGCTTAAGGTTAAAAGAGAAAAATGTCAGCTGTGCACCGAGAGAGTCGAATTCCTGGGCTACCTCCTAGACAAACACGGAATCCACCCGACCCAAAAAAACCTCAGACCATCAAGGAAGCCCCTACCCCAAGGAATAAGACGGAACTACAGACGTTCCTTGGGCTCATTAATTTTTACAATGTTTTCCTACCCCAAAAGGCAACGGCGGCAGAACCCCTGCATAGGCTGTTGGACAAAACAGCCACATGGACCTGGGGGAAGCGGGAGGAAAACGCATTCAAATGGACCAAGGACCTACTAACATCAGATGCAGTTCTTATCCAATACAGTGAGATCCTGCCGCTAACCATGACATGCGACGCATCACCCTTCGGCGTCGGCGCAATCCTCAGCCACACATTGCCAGACGGAAAAGAAGCAACCATCGCCTTCTTCTCACGAACACTCTCCAACCCAGAAAGAAATTACAGTCAGCTGGATAAAGAGGCCCTAGCAATCATCGCCAGCGTGAACAAATTCCATGAGTACCTCTACGGTAGGACCTTCTCCATTATTACAAATCACAAACCACTGCTAGGGATCCTGGCAGGGAACAAGGCCACTCCAAACATCCTATCGCCCAGGATGACAAGGTGGTCCGAGTTCCTTGCCGCCTACAGCTACCAGCTGACACATCGACCCGGCAAAAACATCGCGCACGCAGACGCACTGAGCCGCTCCCCCCTGCCAGACCTGGACGACGACCCAGCACCCACCATGACAACCCTGCACATCGAGACTCTATCCAACCCACCCCTGACCGTGTCAGACATTGCCAGAGAGACTAATAAAGACAAGCGGCTGGCGCGAGTCTTGGGCTGGGTAGAGAAAGGGTGGCCGGAAAGCAACGGGGACGAACAAGTCAAACCCTTCAGAAACCGGCAAACTGAACTTTTCACACAGAAGGGTTGCATACTTTGGGGGGACAGGGTCGTAATCCCAGAGACATTACAAAAGGAAGTTTTGTCAATGTTGCACGAGGGGCATCCGGGTATAGTCAGGATGAAAAGCCTAGCCAGGAGCTACGCCTGGTGGCCGGGAATGGACAAACAAATTGAGGCTTGGGTAGCCACCTGCAATAGCTGCCAGGAAACCAGACCGAACCCCCCTCCACCCCAATTCGGGAATGGGAAACCCCCAGGGGCCCTTGGTCCAGAATTCACATAGACTTCGCCGGGCCGACCAAGGGGCACACATTCCTGATCACCGTCGATTCTTACTCCAACTGGCTGGAGGTAAGCACAATGAAAACTACAACCACAGAAGCCGTCATTAAGGAACTAGACAAACTTTTCTCCACGCACGGACTGCCAGATGTGCTAGTGTCTGATAACGGACCGCAGTTTACCACACTAGCGTTTGGAAAATTTCTGGCAGAATGGGGTATCCGACATGTGTTAACCGCACCGGCTCACCCGGCGGTGAATGGGCGCGTGGAGAGAATGGTCAGATTCATGAAAAATACCATACAAAAAATCCAAACCAGCGACATACAGGAAAAAATAAATAAACTACTCCTAATACAACACATCACACCCAGCACCACCACAAACAAAAGCCCAGCAGAATTACTCATGGGCAGGAAACTGAGATCCCCACTAGACAGGTTACACCCCACATATAACCCCGAAAGACCCCCCGACTCATCTAGCAAGCACCGGACATTTAACATAGGGGACTCCGTCTACGCTAAGAACTTCACAGGGGACCCACTCTGGGTACCGGCGCAAATAACCCAGATAACGGGCCCCCGGTCTTACCGACTACAGACAACCGACGGACGAACCTGGAAGCGGCACATCGACCAGCTCAGGTCAAGAATAGCCGCTAACAACACGCAAACACCACCGACAACAAACAACGAAGAAACCAGAAGGGGGGGGACCTCAGACCACCAGCAAAGAAGAGAAGAAAATCTGATAAGGCAAGCAGAACACCCCCAACCAGGTTAGACCACCCCCAAACAATAAGCCAGCCTTACTCACCGGTAGACGACACAACCACAGCAGACGACCGACCCGAGTCTTCACCTGAGGGGAGCAGCCAAGCCAGCTCAACCAGCCCGGAAAGACCAGGCGGGAGCGGCAGAAGCGGCAGCTTAACCAACCCAGGTAGACCGGGAGGGAGCTACCAGAGAAGGCCCAGCTCACCCTTCCAGGCGGTTCTATCCAGGGATCCAGGAGCAACAGAGAGCCCGTCCGAACCGGTCGACGGCCAGACAGCAACTGAGCCACGCAGGTCAACTAGGCAAATTCGTAGCCCCGCCTACCTGCGTTACTACGTGACCATGCTCCGTCGGACAAAACCAAGAGGGGAGGGGTGTTCTGTATTAACATACTCCAAACCCTCAAATCTGATTGGCCCTCACAGGCTGCAACCGGATTGGTTGAATAAACGGCCGTGATTGGCGCGCTTAGAATCTACCGCGATTGGCCTAGCCAATCGCAGGAGATTCAAAGCACTGTCATTGGCCGCCGCGCCGCGGACAGCTCCTATATGAAGGGCAGCCGCGAGCGCAGGTCCTGCACTGAACTGTATACTCAATAAAGAGCTGAATGTCACTTTTGAGTCTCGCGTCTCTGTCCGAATCGATCTACCCGGGACCGATCTACCCGGGACCGATCTCCCAGACCTAACAGTTTCCATCCATTGTTTCTTTTTTTTTAAAAAAAACAAGTTTTATTAATTTTTAAAACACACAAATTATCATTATTCATTACATGTTTAAACCTTTTTCCCTTGTAAATTTAACAAGTCAGATAAATTATGATTCTGTTTTAAACCATTTCCATATAATATACCAAAACCTCTTATTCAATTTCTCTTTACTTCTCTTTACTCTTATTCAATATCATTATTATTATTTCATCTGTTTCTTTCTGACTTAGTTACCATTATTCTCATTCTATATTTCTACAAGTTTTTACCAATTCTCCCCCCAAAAAAGACATATACACACAACACACAAAACATAAAAAAAATATCTTTTTGGAAAGTAACTTGGACCCAGGTGTCTCTCTCTTCATGGACTTCAATTATATTCATGCTCGTCTTACATATCATTACTTATTTTATTTACCATTCTAAGCCTTCTATATTAACTTCTCCACATATTTCACACTTCTTAATTCTACCTTAACTAATCATCTTAGTTTAAATCATTATATTTGTATCTTTTGTCCATTTTTTATCATCCCTTTGTCTCATCCCTTATGAAAAAAAAAGAAAATCAGTTTCTCCTGAAATCATTAATCAGAGTATGATGCCTTTCTATCTCCCCCCTAAGTTAATCAAATTAATCTTTAAAATAATATCTAATACCCAATCAGATTTTGCTTGGTACATTCTATCTAACTAATACATCCAACACAATTAATTGCATAATTAGAGAATAAATCCAAATATTAAAAAGAAATACTATAATAAAAATTTTATAATAACATCAATACCATAATTTTATTAAACTCTTTAATTAAAACAATATTCTAAACCTCTCCTATTATTAAGTTTTAAAACCAATCATTTTTAAACATTTTAACATTTTAATCTCTTATCAACTCTTAAACCATTGCAATACTACCATCTCATCTTATGTACCTTGCAAAATCTTTTTTTTTTTTTTTAAATTATACTTTATCCATTATCCATAAAAAATTCCTTTTTTCCATTTAATTTCAAAACGTTGTAGCTTTTCTCCACCTTTTCCCTTTCTTTCTTTTCCCAACAAACCTTTCTACCCCCCCTTCTTCTAGCCTCTGCCTTACCGGCTTCCCTTCTCTGTCGTATTTCTTTTCCCCTTTGTTTACAATCATCATATTGGTTTTGCACTTTATTTTTCCCTTTCTTAAATGTTTTTTTAAATCTTAAGTCCTTAAATCCTTTAGTTTTCTTCTTTTCTCTTCTTTTCTTTTCTTTCTCTCTTCCTTTTTTCTGGATCAAATTCTGAGATTCATTAAAGATGGCTCCTTCCTTTCTTTCTTGTTCCTCTGCTGTCTTCATCTGTTGTAATTTTTGTTGATAATTAGTAAGCGCCATTTCTAAGAAAAGAAAAGCTTCTTCCACACCATTTCTTAGTTCCTCAACAGAAAGAGCCATTATAAATCTTTTCTTTTCTTTTCTCCTTCTTTCTTCTTACAACAACCAGAATATTCAAAAGAAAATAAAAAAGATAAAACAGTCCCAAAGTTATCAATCAGTCCAAACCAAGGCAGAGTTCTCACTTTCTCCTTCTGGGGTGATATCAATCAAAGAGAAAGAAAGTCCAAATCTGTTTAAAGTCTTGTTACAATATATTCTAGTCTTCAAATCCTTAAGGCATCTGCTCCCACAAATCTTAGCATACAAATATTTTCTTTTTAATCCTCTCTCTTCCCACTCATCGCTTAAAACCAATTTCCACCTAAAAAAATAGGTTTCTTAATATCCAGTTATTTATTCCGTAGGAAAAGAGGGAAAGCTATCCTTTCAGCACCTTCAAGCAGCCGCTTTTTTCCTCTTCTGGCAGGTATTATTCAGAAAGTCATACTTTTCAGGAATTTTATTAAATATGTCTTAGAGTCCTAGGAGCCAAGAAAACTTTCTCCTCTCAATCACTTTCTCCACTTCCTCCTGCGCATTCTTACCCGGCTGCCAGCTTCTTTGTGGCGGCCATTACGGACCGCCGCTGCACCGTCCTGGGAAAAGGGGGTTCTGCCGGCCAGGGAGGGGGTCTGCAGCACCCCCAAACCCTTCTCCGGATCCCCCCTACCTTCAGCTGCCCCTGCAGGGCAGCCTAGCTCCGTACCCGGCTGGGTCGGAGCCCCAAAAACGGCTAGCGCGGCAGGGATCGCGCAGCTTCGCAAATCCCTGCCGCTCGCGAAGCCGACAAACCGGTTTGTCGGCTCCATCCATTGTTTCTTGTGTTGCTTTCTGGTGTTTTGGAAAATAAATTGACGCCCTTTTCTTTGTGACAGCCACATATCTCTGATTTCCAAACGTGTCTTTTTAATACCTGGCCCAGGTGTTAAATAGGCTACATGATGATTGTTGTATATGAATGTAGCTGCCCTCCATTTTTGAACAAACTTTATGAATATTCGATATTGTAACAAAACCCGTCTTACTTCAATAGAGCAAGATGGATTTTCTCACGAAGATCAGGCTGAGGTGAAGTAGAAAGATAATTCACAAAGCCTGAGGCAGTCACAGTAGCTTTCTATGTCATTAAATTAATTGCAATTTGTCTAAATTATGTTGCCTTTCTAACCAATTTTTTTATTGTGATGTACATTCAAATATATTAAAAAAGCAGTTTTGAGAATAAATGCTGTAATTTATGCAATACAATTTATTGTCCATGTTTATGAGCACTTTTAATCAAAGTCTTTCAGAAGGGACTCACAGCAAGCATCTTTTGCAGGCTTGGCTGTTATTGGTCTCATTGTTAGATTTATATCCCAGCATTACTCCAGTAACTCAAGGCAGCTTTTCTGCTGATCTCTGCCCTTTTATCTCCAACAACATCCTGTGCCCAAAATCACACCAGGATTTTCCAGGGGAACTTAAACTTGGGTCAACCACAAGCAATTGTTCTTAGCTGCAGAGAAGAGCAGCAAAGATGATTAGAGGCCTGGAGATAAAAACAATATGAAGAATGGTTGCAGGAATTGGGTATGGCTAGTCTGCAATAGGAAAAGAAGGACTAGGGGTGACATGATAGCAGTCTTCCAGTATTTGAGGGGTTGTCACAAAGAAGAGGGGATCAACCTATTTTCCAAAGCACCAGAAGGCAAAACAATAATAGAATAGAATAGAATAGAATAGAATAGAATAGAATAGAATAGAATAGAATAGAATAGAATAGAATAGAATAGAATAGAGCAGAGCAGAGCAGAGCAGAGCAGAGCAGAGCAGAACAGAATAGAATTCTTTATTGGCCAAGTGTGGTTGGGCACACAAGGAATTTGTCTTTGATGCAAATGCTCTCAGTGTACATAAAAGGAAAGATACATTGTCAAGAGTCAAGAATCATAAGGGACAACACTTAATGATAATCATAGGGTACAATAAGCAATCAAATCAATATAGCAAACAATCAATATAGCAAACAATCAATAAAAATCATTAGGATACAAGCAACAAGGTTACAGTCATACAGTCGTGAGTGGGAAGAGATGGATGGAAGGATTAATAGTAATAGTGCAAGAAGCAAAGGATGGAAACTAGTCAAGGAGAGAAGCAACCTGGAATTAAGGAGAAATTTCCTTAACAGTGGAACAGCTTGCCTTCAGAAGTTGAGGACACTCCATCACTGGAGGTTTTTTAGAAGAGGGTGGACAGCCAC